GAGGAAAATGAATTTCTGTTGTTTAAGCCACCAGGTCTATTGTATTTTGTTATGGCAGCCCAAGCAGACTCATACACACACCATCACTTCTCTCTCCTTCCTCAGAACCCTGTGTCACTTGTCACCTGCCCCTCACGTGATAGCATGAATCAGTGACACTCTATCTTGCCGACTCAGTCATTTCCCCTATGTGAGCCCCTTTGACTCCTCCCCTAAGGAGTAAGCTCTTTGCAGGTAGGAGCATCATGGTCTGTATCACCCACAGGTCCAGCACATAGCACTGCACACACAGATACTCAAGACGTGCTTTGCTGGTTAAAAGTACTGCACTGATGGAGGAGGAACAGTGGTCCTGAGAGGACAGGAGTCTTTCTAGTGTGGCGGTGGGACACCTTTAAGGGGCACGTGGCTACCGTCACCCAGACATTTGCTTCGCTACATCCAATCTTAGCTCTGTTACCATGGCCCATGGCAGGACCCCAGGAAGGAGCAAGCACACAAAAGATGATCTACAGTGATACACCAAAGAGTTTTCCCGACCACCGGGTTAGCTAACAAAGAGATACAGATATCATATTGAAATAGTCTTTGAGAATATTTGTCATTTAATTGCATATTTCACATGTATACTAAAAAGCACTCGTGTGCTAAATATTTTAAATTTATATATATATATATATATATATATACACACACACACACACACACACACACACACACCTGCTGCGTGCCAGCCTCTACACAAGTCACTTCAGACCCAATACCAATTGAACTTGTCTCCATTTTACAGGTGAGAAAACTGAGACTTAAAGAGGTTAAGTAACTTGCCCAAGGCCACACACATGTGGTAAGTGAAATTGTGAGCCAGTGATAAATTGCATTTGAGAAGACTTCATTTATTACAAACAGAGCAGATACTATAACTAGACTGTTATAACCGAACTGTATATAGATACTATAACCAAACTGTTACTTGGTGGGGGATACAGAAAGGAGGGCAACATAGTTTCTGTCCTATCAGGACTGTAGAGGAAAGGAGAGGGCATGCAGATCACAAGTTATAGGTGGCTACAAATGCTGAAAGAAGAGATAGAAATCAAGTGCTTTAGGAGTTCAGGACTGTGTGCACCCTGACTTGGACCAGACATTGAAGGACAAGCAGGAGCAAGGTACCGAAATGGAAAGGTGCTGGTACAGTGGTGGGATACTGTACTGGTTTCACTCACCAGGACCAAAGGCTTGTACCACCCGGTACACCCCCAGGAAGACAGGCTGATGTAACAGCGGTAGAACCTCTGGCAGCATGAGGCTGGCTTCAGGCAAAGCTGCTAGGGTCTCAGGACACGTGGTTTACCCTCATTCCCATGTGTCCCACCCCCAACTTTTCTAGTTAAAGCAGGGTACTCATTACGGGTGCTAGGCTGCTGAGAAAGGGCTCGATTCCTAGGCGAGTGTTGGGGAGTGGCAGAAAAGGCTTGGATTCTAGAAACAGCTCTGCTGCCACCCAGCAGAATGACTTTGGATAAGTCTCCCAGCACCGCAGGACTTAGAAGGCAGTGGCCTGGGGGATTTCTGAGTACCATGTGATGCTCACTCACACCACGCCCTGGGCTGGAGTTGTGTGTCAGCCAGAGATGAAGGTGTGACAGGGCAGGGAGGTGCAGATCACCTGCTGTTTCTGATTTGGTGGAACTGGGTATGAGCAGTGTGGCCTCCTGCTCAGAGATCTCTGATAACTGAGCCCTACCTCAAGATGCCTGGCAGGGGACCAGGAAGGTGCTGACATCAGACACCCCCAGTGGGGAGGGTCTCCCCTCCTGCCTCTCTAACCACACACCCTCCAAGTCTTCCCTGCCCAGGCCCTTTTCTGAGTGAGAAAAGGAGACTTAGAGGAGACTGTTCCATCTAACAGGGCTAACCTACTTAAACAAGAGAGACTAGATCATTCCTCTGGAATATGAAAGGCAGGAAAGGGCACGGCTGGGCTGCCCCTTCCTGCTGCCGGCCTGCCTGCCTGCCGCTGGTCACGCTCCCCAACAGGGGCAGGCCCTTCTGGGTACCCCGGGTGGGCCGGCAGAGTGTGGGTGCGGGCCAGCAGCGCGCGCTCGGAAGTGCCCCTGGGGCCTGGGCAGCAGGCGGCTCCTGTTTCCCAGCTACGCAAGGGCGGGCGCAGGGCAGCTGCTGGGAGGTGAGCTGAGCAGCCTTTTCCCACAGTCTGGGGCGGTGACACATGGCGCTCACACATTCCACAGCCGGCGGCCGCGCCAGTCCTGGCCGCGAGTCAAGGCTGCGCCAGGAGCCGTGGCCGCTGAGCAGGTTCTGACTTTGGCACCCGCAGAGTCTCCTTCCCGCCTTCCCCAAGCTGTGGGGCGGGCCGGCCGGGCAGGACCAGTGGGCCGCGCTGCCTGCTTAATCTTCAGGCATCTAGCCACAACTGCGCAGTTTTTTTGACTCCCAGTGTGTAGCTCACTTAGATGCTGAATAAATGTGGAATAAATAAATGAAGGATGAAACAAAGGAACACTAAGGGGAGCCCCTCCTGGCACGCACACACAATGTGCCTATACAGTTATTCGCAATTTCCCAAGCACTTCACTCCCAGTCTCTCTGGTACATCTTGAAAAGACCTTGAGGAGTGAGGGGAGGGGGTGTTTGCACCCCCAGTTTACCACGGGGAAAACTGGACTGGGAGAAGTGGCTTGCTCAGAGCCGGGCCACTCCTGCCTTTAGATTCAGATGGAAACTGCCCAAGGAAGGTGGGGTTAGGGGCACTCTCCATCGTGTCTGTCCTCCACCTCTGAGTCTTTAGATGAGGTGGAGGGATACTGATCTCTAGCTAAGACCCACCCTCACAGCTCCCTATTTATTGATGGGCTGTGGAAGCCTTGATCACAAGCCCACTCTGCAACCATCTGAGAGCTGCAAAAACAGACGATTAGAAAAAAAAAAAGAGGGGGGTGGGCTCTGATTCCAGGGTGGACATTCCTTTCTCTGTGTGGAGTCCCTCACGGCTCCTCCAACTCTGTCACCTCTACAACTGTATCTAACTGCCTAGGGCAGATAGCACATGAAAGGTGGAGGTCACAGGGAGCTTTCACTCATGTAAAACATCACAGAGCAAGGAACCCACCAAGCATCTCCCACAGGAGCTGCCTAGACCCTAGGGTCAGGAAACCTCACCATTTCCAGAGCTGTCTTAATATCCGTTGCCTTTAATTCTAATGACAACCAGTGAGATGGGTAGTATTCTTCTTGTTCTTGGTTTATACCTAAAGAAACTGAGACTTAAAGAGGCACAATCACTAGCCTAAGGTCACAGAGCTATAAACGTGCTTGATCCGAGGTTTGTCTAACCACAGGCAGCGCAGTGCCTTGTCAGCTAGGTCTCAAAGATATCAAGATGCAGTTCAGATTACATTCCATGCACACACCCTCTCCCACTGGCCTCTGCATAGCACACACATGCACAAAGAACTGCCTAGCCTTAACCTTCTCAGAACAGAATCACACTTGATCCTCCCCCATCTTCTGATCCACAGTCAATAATCATTGACCATTACAACATAATCCAAAGACAAAGAGATCAACCATGAGGCCCTGGGTACATTCAAGTTAATTCACTTAGTCAGCTAGCATTCACTGTGAACCTGCTGGGCCAGGCACAGAGCAGGGTGCTGGTGGGCACAGGAAGGCACTAGGAGCAGATGAAAAAGAGGAAGAGAAGGTACAAGGGAGAATACAATACAGAAGACCTACAGTCCCCATGTGGGGCTCCCAAACAGAGAGGTTGGAAAGACCCATAAAGAGATAATTACATCATCACATTCTCAGAGAAATATGAACTAAGTGGAGGTACTGAGGTGAGAATGCTACTAGTTGAAGTGCAGGAAGAGTTCCCTAAAGAGGCGACCTTTGGGGCTGGCCGGGTGGCACAGTTGGTTAGAGAGTGAGCTCTGAGCAACAGGGTTGCTGGTTTGATTCCCACATGGGCCAGTGAGCTGTGCCCGAGCTGAGCTGCCACTGAGCTGCCAACGAGTGGCCGGAGTGCTCAGCTGTACAAGGTTGCCGGTTTGATTCCCACATGGGATGGTGGGCTACGCCCCTGCTTCCACCCCCTCCCACCCTCTGCAACTAGGTTGAAAGTGGCTACTAAACTTGGAGCTGAGCGGCACTCTCCACAACTAAAATTGAAGGACAACAACTTGACTTGGAGCTGATGGGTCCTGGAAAAACACAATGTTCCCCTCCCCCAATTCTCCAATAAAAATCTTTAAGAAAAAAAAAGAGGCGACCTTTATGTTGGGCCATGAAGAATGGATGGTCTCCTGACAGACGCAAACTGAAAGGCCACTCTGCTCAAAGGAAACACAACAGGATAGCTTAGAGAAGACACAGAAAATGTGAATCATAAATTAAAAACAAAAACAAACTGATAAACTGTATGACATCAAAATTTTAAATGTCTGCTCACACACACAAAAATTATACCATCAAGAAAATAAACAGGTAAATAACAGACTAGTAGCAAATATTCATAAAACTTATCTGACAAAGGGCTTATGTGCAGAATACATAAAGAACGCCTGCCACTAAATAATAAAAACACAAATGACCAAATTTTACTTTTAATGGCCAAAGACTAGACAGACGCTTTCCAAAAGGTACACAAATGACCACAGTGTGAAAGCCCTCAACATCATCAGTCACCAGAAAAATGCAAATTAAAACTATAGTGAGATACCACCACACACCTACCAGAATGCCGAAACTTAAAAACAGACAACACCAGATGTTGAGTAGGATGTGGAGCAACTAGAACTCTTATATACATCACTGATATTATAGAAATGTTGGACTGTACAGCCACTTGAAAAACTGTTTCTTAAAAATGTATACATACTGGGGCTGACGGTTAGCTCAGCTGGTTAGAGCACAGTGCTCACAATACCAAGGTTGCCAGTTCGATTCCCGCATGGGCTGCTGAGCTGCACCCTCCACAACTAGATTGAAACAACTACTTCACTTGAAGCTGGTGGTTCCTGAAAAAAAACAATAAAAAAATAAATAAAAATTGAAAAATAAAAAAAAAATGCATACATACATCTACATAGCAGTATACTGCTAAATGTTTAACAACTGCCTCCCAGGGTATAAAATGAGCCTGATTTGTGGCACTTGGTCGATTTCCCTGGTATAAATCCTCCCACCAGGGCCAATTTCAAGGTGCTCATATGACATCAGCGAAAGAGGTGAGCACAGTTGCCTCTGGTTGGCTGGTACAGACCACTCCAGCATACCCTTGCATCTACACCCTGACCTAGCAATTCTACTCAGCAATTTACCTAAGAGAAATGAAAACATATGTCTATGAAAAGTCTCATAGAAGAATGTAGCAGCTTTTTTCATTATAGGCCAAAATTGGAAACAACCCAGATGCCCATCACAAGAGAACAGATAAATGAGCTACAATATATTCATACAATGGAATACTACTTATTGATAAAAACGAATGATCTAGGGGGTGACTGGTTAGCTCAGTTGGTTAGCGCATGGTGCTGATAACACCAAGGCTGCCCGTTCAATCCCCGCATGGGCCACTGTGAGCTGCACCCTCCCTAAAAGAGTCAACTATGCCATTGTAGCACGAAAGCCATGTGTAACCAATGACCATGGCTGTTCCCCAATAAAATTTAAAAAAAAAAAAAAAAGAATGATCTACTGAGATATCCAGTAACATGGATGAATCTCAAAAATATCATGCTATGTGAAAGAAGACAAACTTGAGAAGAACATCCTGTATGATTGCATTTATATGAAATTCTAGAACAGTGAAAACTAACCAGTGGTGATAGAAATCAGAACATGGTTGCTAGGGGAGATGGGGATTGACTGGGAAGGACCCTGAGCAAACTTTCTGCAGTGATAGAAATGTTCTGGGCTTTGATATGCATTGGTCAAAACAGAATACGTAAGGTCTGAGCATTTTACTGTATATAAATTATAAGAAAAGAAAAAGACACCACAGCTGGAAAGGCTGGATTTCCTTCACTTGAGCACTCAAGCTACCTTAGGAGCAGAGGACCACAGCCCAGTGTGGGGGCTCCAAAGCGGCTGGCTCAGCACATGGGCCTCAGGGACTAAACTGTGTTTCTCTTATTTTCTTTTAGCAAAACCAACAAAGCATTATTTGCTTTGCCGCCCACTGTGATTACTAGGTCCCCCGGCCACAGGGCAGAGTATGGGCTGGGCAGCTGGAGGGCACCGAGGTCATCTGGCCCAGTCACCCCCACAGCTCGGCTCAGCTTTCCTCCCCGTCCTCCCTCCCCTCCCCGTTTCTTAAGGAATACATTTAAGGAACTTGCAAAGTTTCTCTGCCTCCCAGTTCTCTCTCTATTCCCTCATGTTTTCCTCCAACACTCCCTTCCATCCTTTTTCTACTTAAAAATAGTTTCAGAGATCTATGCTAAGTATTTATCAGCCCATAGCAGTCAGAAATTCCTGTCTCCAAGAGTTCTACAATAACAGAAGCACAAAAATTGTTCAGTCAATTATCAAAGGTATTCTGGTGCGTTGAGTTTGGAAAACCGTTCTGCCACCGCTTACCTAGTTGTGTGACTGTGGGAACATTCCTCGACTTCTCTGGCTTCAATTTTCTTATTTGCAAAACAGGGGAAATAATTCCTACTTCAGTGGGCTATCTGAGGGATAAAATGAGATAACCAGTGAAAGAGCCAGCATGTTTGGAGGGCTTAACATTTGGAGGTAGTTTATTTTTTTCCTATTTCATTGTAATTGGTCCTTCTATAAACATGTCAATGATATCATTTTAAAGAGGTTTGTACAAGTCTCTCATCATGCACCTAAAGGAGAGTAAAGACAGCTTCCAGCCCAGGTCTACAGGGTGCTTCGGGGCTAGAAAGCCATCTGGCTCGGGGGACAGCAGTGGACTCCACCCATTGGGGCTTTCATTTCTGCAATTCCAGAAAAAGAGCATAACAGGGCCAGGTGCAGGAAGGTGGAAAGGCTCTTGTCTCACACAAAAACAGTCAAATTCCTTTCACACCCTCCTACCTCCCACTCCTTAATGAGTCTCTTATGAACTAAAGTCTCCTTGACTTTTCAAAGTTCTATAAAGGGTTGCTTGTAGAACCCAGAGACTGAATGTGAGACACTTGTAAAACTTCACACAATACACAGGGTATCCTTTTGCTTTTTTCATATTTTGTTCACACATCTTTTCCCAAAGCAAAATGTGCTAGTCATTGTCTGGTGGCTCCCTACCCCTAATGCCTCCTTGACTTCATTTTCACCATATTCTCTCTACTGTAAAAATGGCTGGTTCCAAGGTCCTCCAAAACACTGCCAGCTACTCTCCTTAATTGCCTTGACCCCCAAAGTTAATGGTTCTCCAGTGTTCTTTCTTATTTGACTTTTCTTTCTTGAGTACTGAATGTGCTCCAGACAAGCACAGTCCTTTCCTATCTCTATGTCTTTGTTCATGTTGTCTACATTCCCTTCTTCCTATACTACCCATCCTTCAAAACTCAGCTCAAATACCAGCTCCTCCATGAAGCCTTCTCCAATGTCACCAGCTAGAAGGGATCTCTCCCTTCATCTGAGCCACATGGCACTTTTCTAAACCTCCTTCTTATGGCATTCATTCCTATAGCCCACGTAGTGTACAGAAGAATGAGGTGAACAGATGGACAGATTGGTGACTTGATGGGTGGTTTGATGAGTGCTTGGATGAACTGTATATGAATTGTTGAGTCGATATATAGATAAGAGGCTGGCAACAGGAGCTAGAAGACATACTCATACCTGAGTGTCTGCATCATGTTAATTTATTAACTTGTTTAATGTTTATCCAACAGTTTCTATGTCTTGTCTATCTATCCATAATCTCTTTCTGATCTTGGGAACAGGCACTGGAAATATTTAATTCAGGCTGGATCCGAAGTCCTGTGCAGTCAATATTTACAAATAACAAAGGGCCAGGTATGTTTTAATTTGTTCCTAACCTAAAGTCTGATAAGTTTTTACTAGCATTCAAAAGTAGATGTCAATATATTTCTTGTTTCTGCTTTTGGGGTTCCAGCTGGATGGGAAGTCAACCAATCCAACTGCTCATTTTTCAGATGAGGAAGCCGAGGTCTGGACAGGGAACACGGATTGCGCAAGATCAGATGTAGAGTGAGACTAAAGCTCTGACTCCCAACTCCCAACCTTAAAACTTAAAGCCAAAGGTCTGGCTTATCTATTCTAGTTGTGTTTCAAACCTTGACGAAAAGCAGGGAGGTTGGGAAGAAAATCCAAGACTTCTCTAAAGAGAGGTATCATTTCTCTTCCTATAGATTCTTTTGATGTTTAACATTAGATTTGGGGCCTTAACTTTCCAAGGTGTCGTTTGTACAATGAAGAGAAAAATGCTATGCCCCAGACTCCTTCCTGAGAGCTCTGAAGGATTCCAGTTGTGTTTGCATAGTAAGCTCCTCTCTGATGTGCAAAAGTGAAGAATTGGAGACCTGCATGCTATAGGTTCTGACTTCTCTTTGTAGTAAAAGTTCTAACATCCACTAGAACTTCTTAACATTTTGAAGAACACCTCTGTTATCAGACCAAGAATTAACTATTTCTCTGCTCTGGTGATGTAATCCCTGTCTATAGTTTTTACTGAAGAACAAAATTCTCAGAGTAGCCTCTGTAAACTACTCATCTCTCTGACTTCTCTATCCCAACATACAACTAAACACCACTACCCAGGAATTTTTACAATTTCGATCAGAAGTTTCCAGAAATACCTTCAGTTCTGTTTTTGCATGGTAATATGATTTCTTGATGACCATGATTCAAAACCTCAGTTCCCCTCCTTAAAAAAATACCACCATCTGCCTCAAAACCCTGCGTGAAGTACAAAGGGCACAACTTATCTATGCATCATAAATACACCCAATGACTACCCATGGGCATTAAAATTTTTCTTTAATTGTCATTTTCTCCTGGAAAGTCCAAAGATAATAGGAAGAAAGTGGGAAAAAGTAGCCAGAGAATGGGGGCATCAGGGGAGGGTGTCTCTGTAAGAACTTGACCTCCACCCCAAGCACTGAAGCAGCAATTATGACTGGTCAGCCAACCTGAAACACATCCTGCTCTTACAAATTTCCAGTCAATACTCAAAATGCCAGAAGTTTCTTTTCAAATTAAAAAAAAAAAATGAGTGCGGGAGGAAGAAAGGAAGAAATCCAAACAGCAGACAAAAACCAGGCGCCGTGGCCCCTCACTCCAGCTTATGTAGTGGCGACAATGGTGAGAAATCAATGCTCGGAACCACAAGGCAGCTTTCAGACACCTCTTGACCTTGTCACTTCCTGGGTAATTAAGAGGCACTACAGTTCCGTGTCACTGTCAGGGGCTGAATGTATATCGATAGACAGATAGATATGTTCTTAAGAGATTCTTTTCCTACAGCCTTGGTCAGGATCTTGCCAAAGAAAAGAGGGGAAAGAAAGGCATTTTGTCCAGAGTATGGTGAAAGGAAACATGAAAGGAAAAACCTAAATTTTTCAGCAGTCTGCTCCTGACATGGGAAAATGGCGCAGACAAGAATAGATAGCTTGTTCACTGTTGTTTTTTTTCTTCGGCCCCTTGACAGATTATCTCTGTGAACGTATTGTAGGCAGCAGGGGACCCCTCCCTCTCCATGTTCTTCTTTCAGATTCCTTAAGAGCAATCATGCAAACCCTGAGGTCTCAAAGCCAGGCGGAGTCACTGCTTTGCCTCATGGGGCTCAAAGGAAGCAGCTTCCCTTCTTTCTGCCTCAGTTTCCCCAAGTGAGAGAAATTAGACTAAACCCTCTTTGGCGCCTTTACCAGGGCTGCCATTCACTGAGACTGTGAGAAATGGTTTCCGTCTCCTGACCCTGCCAAGGGTATAGAGGAACAGAAACACGGATGGTTAAGAAAATAGGAGTGGGCCTCCCCACCCAGGCCTGTGAAACACCAACTACCGAGGCCACTCAAACCCAAACCTGTGGGGACTCGAGGTAAGGACACCGGGAGAAGGTGGTACTGCAACCCAGTGCTGAGGAAAGCTCTAAAGGCACTTTGTTAGCTCTGACTCTGATGGTGAGTCTGTGTTCCTTCCCAGAGGCTGGTGTCTATGAGGCTGATCCCAGTCTGCTTTATAAGTACTGCAGATACAAGTGGCATCTCCATCATGGACTGTGAGCTCCCTGACCCACATCCCTCTTAGCTCCAAGCCCAGGGACCAGCATGCAGGAGATGCTCAGTGAATGCTTATTTAGCCAACGTCTGAATTTAAAGATACAGTGGGGAATAGGAAGCTATTGGGTGTTGGATGCCCCAGTGAATCACTTCCACGTAAAACTGAAGTTTTTTATTTCAGCAAAACTGGAGACTTTACTAAGTTCTAGGTAACTAGTTTTACACCTAGAGGACAAGCATCTGGTTCTATCATCTCTGTTCCCACTACTAGTATGGTGACAGAGATACACACCAGTAAAGTTTGAGGGCAGGAATGGCTAATGTCACCCGCTGGGTGACATCTTTGGTCTGCCAACTCTGTCCTTGGCATAGGGGCTTATGTATATAGTGACTGCCCTGGAATACCTGTTGGTGTGCCCAGTGATACCCTGTAATGAGTAGCATTCTCTACATGCTGCTGTAGGGTGTTATATATGTACAGACAGCGAAATACTCTGGAAGTCGCATTGGCTGTCACACCAAAAGTTCCCCCCTTCAATCTTGGAATATCAAAAATATGAGTATAGTAGATGTGAAATGGAATTACAGTTGCCTGGAGGGAAAGTACAAATAAACATATCATCATAATAGTACATTTATAACTCCAATGAAGCATGTCTTGATGTTCCCTCCAACTCACCAGATAGGTGCTGTGCTTTAAAGCTTTCTGGCTGAGCTTTCAGAAAGCTGGGTCCCAGACACCCTGGCTTCCTTTGCAGCCCTGCCTGAGGGGAGGCACCAGGTCAGCATGGCCCATCTTGAGGAAAGGTAGGTTCTCCCCAGCTATAAAAAACATCATTATTAATTTGGCCTCCTGGCTACTTTGCCTTCTGGCCAGCTTAACGCCCACTGCATGTGTTCTCACAGGGTCTTGAAGGGGAGAGGGACAGTATTACAGCCCAAGGAAGACTGGGCACAGAAAAGCAAAGCAAAGCTATTTGCTGCAGTGAAGTGAGAAAGAGTGGAGGTGAGGCTGGACCTACAGAACTCACAACTTGAGTACTCAAAAAATTACCTGGAAAGAGGCTGAAGGGAGAGACCGTTTAAGAAGAAATGTAAAAGGAGAAGACAAAAGTAGCTAACCTCCCTTTAAAAACAAAACACTGAAAGCTAAACTGGCTAGAAAGCAACTTTCTGTACCAGGGCTATCCTATAGAATATTATGTGATGATGGGACAGTTCTATTCTTGTTGTCCAATTTGGTGGTGACCAGCCACATGTGGCCATCAAACACTTAAAATGTGGCTAATGTGGGCCGGCCGAGTGGCGCGTTGGTTAAGAGCTGGCTTGGGATGCCAGAGGGCCCCGGTTCGGATCCCACATATGAGGGCCAGTGACACTGCCCTCTACAGCTAAGATGCTGAACAACAGCTCAACCTGGAGCTGGGCTGCTGTGAGTCACTGGCGATGGCGTAGGCAGCAGCCCCTGTGGCAGT